TAGTTGAGAGAAAATTTCAGTGTCGCCTTTGGAAAGCAGTCGCGCTTGTATCGCGGAGCTGTGCTGCCGGAGCTAATTCCGAATACGCGGCAAATTGGTAGGGGAAATTTGTCGAGGGAATGTTTTTTCTCGAGGGAAGCAGCAGAAGTTGGACGAGGTCTGTCGCACTCGGCCGTGAAATTTCGCCCTCCCTTAATCGTTCAACGTTTCTCATGGCGAGTGTCGCTTTGAACATTCGACGAATTCTCGAAAATTCGTGGAAGTTTGCAAGTGGATACACCCTTATTTAGAAACAAATAAACCCCGCCACGGCTGAACCTCTATCGAATTAAACCTTAAACGAATTAAAGTTGCTCCAGATCTAGCATGAAACTAGCATGAAATTCGACGTGAAACGAACGACAAGACAGATTGTCGAGAAGAATGTCAGGAATTTACATCCTAAGTTGCGATCAAAGTTTGGCTGGAAGGGAAAATACGATCAGCTTTTTCTTTTGTCAGCTAATTAAAAATACATATACAGTCGTGTGAAAAGAAACAATGACCCTGAAAAGTTTTTGAAAGGCATGACCTTGAGAAAGATATTCCTGACCAATTATTGGCCTTTTCGATATTCTTAATCATTCGTGTTAGGTGAAAAGTATCTTTTTGCATCGTCACAATTCGAAAAGATATGCATTTAGGTAGCCTCACTTAAAGGGAGTATTCTGGTAATCCGACTTGAAATAATCGACTTTTTTGCGATTTTTTTCTGAGGAAACCATGATGCATTTTGGTATGCAGTTTTTGCACACAGATTTACTCATGCTTAAAGAGTATTTACAATTTTTTTTAACGAAATTAATGAAAGTTGTGGAATATAGCCTTAGGTAAAGCATGTTTTTAAAAAGCATGTTATTCCGGTCCACCTGGTTATTTGAATCTAAAAAAACCAGAATGCATCTTATAATTAGTATAACTATGGCTATCGCATGTACCACAGAAACAGCGAAATTTCGAAAATTAAAAAAATGGCAGCATTTTGAATTTAAAATATCGATTTCCCTCGTGCTTTTCGTTTTTTGGGTGATAAAAGAAAAAAAAATAGAAAAAAATAGAGATTTTGAAATCCGTGGTTCATGCGATGAAGGTACATCCGGTGAAGAGCTCCTCCAAATTTCGAATCCAAAATCAATCGGTCAACTAAAACGTGAAATATCCCACCAGCCAATTTAAAAAAATATGAATTTGAGAAAAACACATTTGAAGTTCTTGTTAGTCGTTGTACAAAAACATTCATACTTACGATCAGTCGAGCAGTATAAAAAATAAAATATTATAAAATAATAATATAAAAATAAATAATATTAATATAATAAATAATAATATTATAGATAATAATATAAAAATAAATAATAATATTATAGATTATATTATATATAATAATAATATAATAAATAATAATATTATAGAATAAGATATTTTTTGAGAAAAACACATTCTCATATTCTCGATATTCATACTCATGTTGCGAGCAGTACACCGTTTCCTTTAAACATTTATAACTTTGCTAATTTCACAAATTCGCACAAATCCTTTTACACCGGCATTTTCAAAAGCATATACTTTGAGAGAATGTAAAAAAAGAAATTGATTTTTTTAAACCTGATTACCAGGATACCCCCTTAAATGGACCATCGGAAATACGATCGTTACTTTCGGTGGTTAACGAAGTGAAAGTCTGGGAAATGAAAGAAAAAGTGGGCGCGCCGGGTCGTCCCGATTCTTCTCGAACGAAGGCCCCCGTGAAAAGGAGGCGGATAATAAAAGAATATTCTTGGTTCCGCGCGCGTGGACGGTACTGGGGATCGATACTGGAATCGCGGTCGAAGCGACGCCTACGCGTTGATGGCCCTCGTCGATATGAAGCCGTCGTTCTCTTCTCGGCCGGCGCGCGGCAGTCAACCACCTCGCTCGTTCCCTGTAAAAAGGCAATTTCCTTTTTGCGCGGTCGAAACTCCTCTCACTCTCACTCTCTCTCTCTCTCTCTCTCTCTCTCTCTCTTTCTCTCTCTCTCCCCTCTCTCTTCTACTTCCTTCGCGCGGTTTGCGATATCTCCGCGAACTCGCCTAGCTCGCGGACCCGACCGGCGAGATCCAACTTTGTACATAATCGAAGGAATTACTCGACTTTGGGATCGTGCCGGAAGCGAGAGATAGCCTTTGGCAGACGCTCTGGCAAACTTTGTCAGCCATTTTCGAGGGTTAAAGTTTCGCTTGGTTCTTCCTCTCCTTCTTCTTTCCGTTTCCTGGGTCTTTAGGTTCGAGGAATTTTCGTCCGGGTCAGGGAGGGTAGGCTCGGGAGGGTAGTTGAGCGTGAGAAACTGAAATTGAAGGAAGAAAGAAAAAGATAGTTTCTTCGGGATAGCAGAATGTAAATTCCCACTGTAGAACAGTCTCCTACAGTCTCCTGAGAATGTCAATTTTGTCAGCTCCTTTTGGTAATACGTTGTATTTCAATCGCAGTTCTCGTTCGTTTTCATTTGACCAACAAAGTAAATTATGTATAATTGAATATTCTTCATCTTTGAAATTATAATTCACGAAAATTTAATCAAAATCTAACAACTCTTTTCGGAATACGTTGTGCCGATATAGCGTTTAGACGTTATGGTTGCACTTTTATAATGAGATATTGTGTCATTATAAAAAAAAAGAAAAGCAAGTGAATCATCGCTCACAGACTATCGAGTTAAATGTTCCAAATTTTTAGAGAAGAGTTGCTTCATCATAAAATAATAAATATATTTCTAGAGAATCCTGCCAACTGAATATAAAGGAACAGAGGATTATGGACGCCGTAGAAACAGTTCAAAATAACAAAATGGACTTGAATGCATCCTAGAGTTTTTAAAATTACAAATCTACTTTCGCAAATATGTTCTTAGATGTCGATTGTATTTGTATTATTTCAAATATATAATAATTCTTTTCTTTTTTTTTTTTAAGTGGGCCATCGCTTCTCGAATTGTTCCAAATCCAGTGGATGATGGCCTGGTATTCATTCTGGAACGTAGCCACGTCGCTGTTTCAATTCCTCGATGCTTTGCAGTCTCTCAGTTGTTGTAAAATGTCCTTGTAGAACTCGTCGCTCCTCGTGGATGCCGTTTTCGTACTCGTTATTTAAGATTACTCCCGGCGGCCGGGGCCACGATTTATGAAACTCCCCTAATGGGCTCCCCTAGGCGTTACCTTTCGCCAAGGTATAATGATTGCACGCACCTCTGCTATCGCCACGAAAATAGCACCCGACGATAAATCCCTTTGGGATTCATTCTTCTCCATTTTCTTTCCCAACATCCTTCTAGATTTACAAATTCAACAAATTTCTAATTCTCCTTTAATCTCGCCTAATGGCGTCGCGTCAAAGGTTTCGCAGAGTATCCACGAATATTTCAAACCTAACCTAACGTCTCAGTGTTGTTGTAATACATCCAGTTTCTAAACTGAAGTTTATCGTTCTGTTCGGAACAATACGGCGTGTCCATAAAGTCTCTTTGCAATTGCAAAAATTTATTACAATGGCAAATGAAGAGACAGATGAGTGAAAATTGTTACAAAGTGAGACGTATATATTTAAGTTTTTTCTCTTCTTATTTACATACACCTCGATATGGACACCTTTATATGGATTAGTGATGTTCCGTACCTTTGCTCGATACGTGATATCTTTAACGTAACTCCATGTGGATGTCCGTAAAGTCTCTTTACAATTTCAAAAATTTATTACAAAGGCAATTGATGAGACGTCTTCGTCAGATTTGTTCCATGTACTCGATGGTTATCGAGGTTTCTATCACATTGCATTTCAGGTACCCTGTTGATGGATAAGACACTGTTAAATGAACCCTTTACAAAATGGCTACTCCTCAAGAGAAGGCACAGTGTATATCATGGTTTATTGAAACTAATCGAATCTGCAGACTCAGAGAAACTTTAAAACTAAGTATGGAAGAGATCCATCGTCACGTCCATCAATTCGTTCATGACGCAAGAAATTTATGGAGACAGGGACAGTGTTCGACAAAGGGAGGGGTGTAAGAGATCGAGTGCGTTTTGATGTGCTTCGTGCAACTAATGCTGCCCATATAGAGGTGTATTAAATGGGACAAAAAGAAAAAAACTTAAATATACACGTCTCATTTTGTAATAATTTCCATTTATCCGCCTTTGTAACAAATTTTTGAAATTGTAAAGGGACTTTACGGATACCCGGTATCATAATTATTATTCGTGCGTGACGAGTAGAAACGAGAGGAAGAAGGAAGGATGAGAAGCGCCGGAAATGCCGGAAAATGGCGTTCGATGTATAAAAGAGGGTGAAGAGAGAAAGCGTTACTCGGTTAACTGTCCTCGCGGACTGCGTGTTTATAGTTCTCCCGTCGCATTTGTCTCGTCCTGATAAAAAATCGTGTCGTCCGAGCGTTCCTTTGAACAGGAAAACACAAAGGACACTCGGGACGCAGGAATTATTGAGCAATAAAAAGAAAAGGAGACGTCTACTGACGCCTTTGGAACGCGGAGAGCCTTGGCTTGCTTTTACGCGACGTTCCCATTTTTACGGGGAAGCGTGACGAACGACATTTGGCAGCGACGAGCGACTCGAGACTCGTTTTCGTTACGATTCTGCTATATACGGTCAAAGTAACTCGTTTGGAGTTTTATTAGGGGTGCCATGAAAGTCTCTGATCTTTGTTGTCAAATGTTAGCTTATCGTTAGCTGTCCACTGGCTAACTGGATCTTCGAAGCCTTTTTCCCCAATGTCGTCTGATTTACGAGGCAAAGTGTTTCTAAAAGATCCAATCTTCTCCTTAGAAAGCTAGGATTTTCTTGGATCGTGGATCGTCACAAGTCGATTTAGAAATAGATGTTTCTCGATGCGATTAAGAAAAATGTTGCTCAACAGTAATATTCTTTATACTTAATTCTTGCGAAAATCCGTGTGATCCTTGTCTGTACAGTTTTCCCGTTTAGTGGAGATGTTCCTGTATGGTGGGCCAGGAAGCCCCAAACCTGTTTACTAAATCCTGAACGGTCTGACGAGGATTCGACTCAATTAGAGAGCCGAGCTCGTCGTTGTCAATGACCTCTGTTGGCCTCCCAGAAGGAGGGACGTCTGAAAGACTGAAATCACCGCACCGAGATCTCGTAAACCAACATTTGGCAATTGAATATACACTTAAATATACAAATCGTATTGCAACAGTTGCATCGATAGCATTATTACCTTTGAAAAAGCTATAAGACATCTGACAAGTTGTTTCATAAAGTTTTTTCTCCTCGCTGTTTACTTGAATAGAAATTGAATCGTGTCTGCTTGAACAAAAGTTTCCATGAAAAATTGAATCACGTATTGTATGAAACTTGGAAGCAGTATTCGCAGAAAGTGAATCTAGAAGTATTTCGTAAGGGAGAGACGACATCACTTTCCGATCGACGCGCTATTTGTTCATTTTCATAGAAAGTATCGATCTCATTCTCGAAATCAAAGACGAAGCGATCGCTGCTACGTGTTTAAGGGATGAACTGAGGATCAAGCGAGAGATCGACATCGCTTTCGATTGATCGGCATGTCGCGGCGGCTTCTTAAAACGCACGTGATCCAGATGAGGAGATAACGACGAGATTTTGTCTCACTTTCTGAGAGGTAACTGGGATCGAGTTCGCTAACCTGGAACTGCACGTTTGAGTAATTCCTAAAGCGAACAGAGATCGATTTTCGAACAAAGGATAGGTCAGACGTTCTCGAATCGAACGACACGTGTTTCTTTTTTTTTTTTCTTTTTTTTTTCTTTTGCTTCTACTAGTTCTTTCGCGTTCTGGAGAAAGAAAGAGAAACGCTAAGGGTCTCGCTAAGGGTTGAGATCTTTGGCGATTGAGAGATGGTATCGCGACTCGTTCTACTCGAGACAACGAAACTTTCCTGTTCCCAACCGAGTTGGATTAATCTGTTTCCTGTTTCCCACTTCTATCAAACTTCTTATCAAATTTCTTTCAACTCGATTCCGATTTTAACGCCTGAGTTTCCGTGGAGGGAACTCTCTCTTTCTAGCGCACACAAGTGGACGCGTGTATTGCTCACTTTGATGAAAATCGAAGACTTTCATTCAAAATTTTCTAATGTGCGATGAAAGGCAAAGTAGATCGTCGAAGAAAAGTGAGGCGTATCAGTTTCTCAATGTTCTGGACGCGCGGTAACAGCAACTTTATAATTTTGGATGTCTACGTTACGTAATGTTTACATTTCGAATAATGCTAGTTTTATCAATCGATTATTTAGACTCACACTGATGCTATAATCATGATAAAACAAATGTTGGTGGAATCTGATACTAAAATTACACAAAATAAATTACGTCCACGTTCAGGACCATAAAGTCACTGTTAGGACGCACGCGTATGCAACGTTAAATGACTGAGAAACTTTTTCGCCATCTTTCAAGAAAACGATAGTCCCTTGCAAAAAATTTTGTCACAGGTAGAATGCAATGAAAAAAAAATTTTTAATATCCTTGAAATTTAAGGACAAATTTTTCTTTCCACCCTGTACACGTAGGCAGGGACCAACAACGTGGAAAATAATATCGTAGAAAAATGTCCGAACGAATGTTTTAAAAAAGTCACGATTCAAAAAAACTGGCGTTTCTGCGTTGATCCCTCAATTCGTTACGTCGATGGATAAAATAAGGGTTTGCACGTGATTCCCCTGGAAATATTCTAATACGATATATATCACATTTTTACGTACGTAATCCGACACACACAGATCTGATATTCGTTACATATTTTGAAATTCCACTTCCGCGAGTTTTCCCCCCGGATTGATATTTTTCTCGTATAAATTCGAAGTGATCTCGTTAGTATGGAACGTTTATCATGGATGTTTATTTTGCGTAGTTTTAGTATTAGATTTCACCAACGTTTGATTTATCATGGTGAATTTAAATTCTGATCGACGACGGTCTGTTGAATCCTGTTAATAATAATAAGTTATATTATCACTGGTTAATAATAATACTACGGGTATAGTAATAATACTTGGACAATAATAATAGGTTAACAATAGGAGAGAATTTTTCCTGTCTGAAGAAATGTACGAAAAGAAGAGCGCGAACAATTTTTAACGATTTGCCTTTTGCAAGAACTGCACCCGGACGAAATCTCCAACACTCGACAACAGTATTAATTGGTAGCTAACGGGTCTCAGCCTCGTGAAACTTTGAAACCTGCGCGGGACGGCGCTAAGCAAAAAAAAAAAAAGATCGACAGATTTTCCCCAAGACTTTTACTTGGAAACTGGGTAACCGTCGTCGTAACCACTGTGTGACCGGATGTTGCGTCGAAAACTTGCGTCAACGACGTGCCTCATCCGATCCAATCCGATTCGTTTCGACTCGACAACCATCGCCGAAGTGGAACTTGTTCGCGACGAAAGTGGAAACTCGACTCGACCTGGAAGCTCGAAGCTCCTCGAGACGGTGGGGAAACTCGAAATCTAGATTCGAAAGTATTTAAACGACTTGAACATTCGCGCCAGAAAATGTACTTTTCATCACTGTGCTGTTACGTTCGATTGCTGTGTTTTGTAATCAGAGGAACATTTGTCCGAGGGGTTGTAAACGTTAATGACGGCCATCATCACGGACTTGGCATGAAGCCTGTTATCAGAGTCCAACAGGTTATCGTGCCAGCTAAGAGATTCTCTGCAATTATCGTGGCCGCAACTTGCGTAATTATGTCTGACACTTTGCTGACTTGTACTACTTGCCCTGACGTGGAGTTCCCGTTTCGATAAGCTCTCTTCGCTCTGTTCAGCCGAAACTTCGCGATTCTACTCGTGCTCCCGTGTTATCATAAAACGCTTTGCGTTGTAAATTTGACAAGTATCAAACTATTGAGTGGCTTTGAGTTCGTCCATTCGTTGTAATGAAAAGTTTCATCGTGTTATATATAAATTATATTATTATATATTACATATAATTGTATAAATTGTAATAATTACAATTATTATATATTATATCTAATTGTGTAAATTATAATCGCAAAAATTCTATAATTGTACACGGACTCGATTCGCGAGGAAAAATACATAGGTCTTGATTTTCTGCGAAAAATATTTGCAGTCGAAGAAAAAAAAAAAGGATATATCCGAGTGATCGAAAGAGGAAAAAAAAACTGCAACAGAAATAAATCGAGCGAAATTTTTTGTTTTGTCCCTGCGAAACGAAATTTATTATTTATATATTAACGCGCGCGGCTAATAAAATTTACAACTCTGCCGCTCGGCGCGCTGTTTTTCCAGCGTTTCGAGTTTTCAGTTTCGAATTTCCGACCAGTAGTAAAGTCTTCGCATCGTATTTGTCAAATGAAAATATTTTACTGTGCAACTATTTTTTAATAAAGTGTAATTCCACGTTTCGCGTTGTTGTGCAAAAAAAAAAAAAGAAAAAAGAGAAAAAAAAAACGTTGAAAACAACGCGCTCGGTAAAATTCTCTTTTTCATCGGCCGCACCGTTACGCTCTATTTCTTTTTTTTTTTTTTTTGTTTTTTTTTTCTCTCACGCGTACGTGTAACATTTGCAACGTAAGTGTCCATAGGAAAATCACCGATGTTTTATATCCATTTGTTCTTTCATCCACCATTGTAATCAATTTCCATTCCATCGCGAATGCTCCGCGATACAACGTGGCGAGCACCGCGAGCACCGCGAAACCATAGTTATTTCAGCCATTACGTGCACGCCGTGCGATCCGTAATCAGGTCTGACGCATCACGTGCTCGTTCTACTTAGAGTCGGCGGAACTTGGCGGAAACGCTTGAACCGCTTAGGCAGTCGTTCTCCCCCCGCCTATCTTTCACGGCGGATGTCGACGTCGCGCGTCACGCGAACAGGAGCTGTGCTGTGCGTCGACTTTGAATAACCGTCGAAAGTCCCCGCAACGTAATCTCCGCGTAAACTTGGGCGGCGAATGGCAGCCTGATCTGATGTTTTCTACGGGGCGAACAACCTGCCTCGGTTGCCGCGGAATCTTCCAGATGGCGCACGATCGCTTCCACGAGCTCTCGTTCCGTTCGGTTCGGATAATTCAGGCGATAATAAAGCTTTCGAAAGCGGTCGCGTACGGAGGCAAAGTAGGGAAATTGACGAAACTTTGTCGGCGTTTGTGTGTTTATCGGAAACTGAAAGTATCACTCTTGAAATTTATTGTTCGCCAGCGTTTGTCCTAGACCGCCTTTCGCTACAGTCACTAAAGGGTTGTATTATTATATTAACCTTTTTACTACGAAAGTACTTATCAATATACTAGGACTGCTTCTCTCAAATAGCTACTTTTACCATAAACGAATGTCGTATCGACCTTTTCTTGTGTTCATATAATATAATATAATAATAATTTTGTTGTGCTCGTATAATGTAATAATAATGGTCTTTAATTCTTTTAAATTTCCTCGCATAATATAATATAATAAGAATGTTCTTTCTCATATAATGTAATATAAATCGAGTATTCGAGCCTTTTATAAGACTCTCGATTTGTCGCGTCTTGGTCAAGGTTTATGATTCCGAATTTATACTTACTTTAAACTTAAATTATCAAGCTCATGTTCTTTACATTTTTTTTTTTCTTTTTTTTTACCAACTACGCGATGTAATAAAAAAAAATTACAGTCGTATGAAAAAAAAAGACGCCAACGATCTTGAAAAGTTCTTGAAAAAAATATTCTTGACCAGTTGTTGGTTATCGTGTTAGGTGAAAAATATTTGTTTGCATCGTCACAATTCGAAGAGATATGTATTTCGGTAGCCTCACTTAAATGGACCACCCTGTATATATACGCCCTCTAAGTTTTTCTTAGCACAACACATTTACCGTTTTACTGAAATTGATCTAACATAGAATTTATCGTTTCGCGTAGCAAACAAGCGGCTTCAAATACACGCTGGATACACTCTTTCGAAGATTGTGTTCTAACTTTCTCGCAAGCATCTCAACAAAAAATCGCTCGTAACTTTAGATACTAATAATTTTCCCACCCGTGTTTATTAAAACTTTTTTCATGCTTCGGCGAGTACTATTTGTCCCGGAAACTTT